ATCAGAGTCCCAGTGGCAGACCTGCAGTTCTGGAGTTCTTTGGTCTACATTTATCAAGCCAGTCCCACTAAATGACATCAGGCCCTCATACCATCCTCATGGAGGTCTAGTTCTGATAACAGCCCGTACCATAGTTTCTCCTTCCTGTCCGAAAAAACTGATGTTCCCTAAAGTTGAACTAACTTTGCGTTGTACTGTGATAATTGAGTATTCTCTTGGGTTTTTTTTTTTTTAAAATAGTGTATTTATTTGATACCAAAGTGATCAGGATACACATTTTCAGGTTGTGTTATCACGCAAATTGTGAGGCTGTACTTGACAGAAACAGTGTGTTTGTTCCTTTATTCAGATAATTTCTAATTATTTGCCCTCAGCTTTCTGATGTTCATGTGGCTGCAGACATGAGTAATCATAATAATATAAATGGATGCCATAAAAAGACAGGAGATGGTGTGCAGGTTATAGAGACATGTTTCATAACACATGCACTTTAAAAAACACCAAAAAAGGAAAATCATTACAATGTATTTTGGGAATACTGTGGATTTTCGACTAGAATTAGACAGCATGAAAAATCTTAACCACTAAAAAAAGCTTCAAAAACATCTTATACTTAAGCTATTGTGACACAATACCTTAAGTAAATGGTAAGAGCCAGGAACCACCCACAGTAGTCAATTAATTCAATAATATTTTTATCATGGAAAAACTGACTTTTTGATTTGAGACTTCATTGGGTTATATTTGAAAAATACTGGAAAGTATTGGTCAAGTTTATATTTTGAAAATTAAGTTTGAGTTCTATTCTAATTAGCCCAGATCTCAGCTACCCACAGGTTTTAATTGAACAGAATATCCTTGTCATAGTCAATAAAGGTTTAGCCCCACAACCCAGTTTCTTTTTCTAGGGTTTTTAAACTTGTGGCATGTATTATGAGGTTATGGTCAGCACCAAATTATGTAGTCTGCACCAGATCTGCTAGTCTTAAGCGCTTGAAATAACAGGAACCGGACTTATTTTGATTTGTGTACTTGCTTCACCTCATCAGGTTTCCTCTTGGCGGTGGTCCTGAAAATGGCTGACCATTTCTTTATACAAGTCGATCAGCAATACATGAGCCTAGGTATGAATCCAGACATGGGTTATTACCATCAGCAACTCTTAATTCTTTGTGAGGCCCCACCCTGCCTTCATGTGAGCCATTAAGCTCACATGGGTCAAGGTGTGAGTGAGGGCTGAATCGCCTGTGAAGGGATCAGTGGTGTCCTAGGCCACCGATTTTATTCAATGATGGTTATTGACCATGGACATGGAGAGCCTCCTTTATTCTTCTTTCAGATCATCTGTCATCTTGGTCCAAAATGTGAACATGACACACTTCCAAGAGTGCAAATGTTCACATTTTGGATTGGTGTGCCAACCACCTTCAAGGGAACAATTTTTTTAGTGAATTAAAACGTCTTCACGAACCAAATAGAAGTTTAGTTGCCTTACTTTCAAGTGCTTGACTGAGAACAGACATATTTTTATCTAGTTTTTGTTCAGTTCTGACTTCTTATTTTGAATTTAATTGAGTATTTCTTTGAAATGTTTAGTTTTCATTGGTCTCCATAGACTAATGGAGAAAAAACGACCAATATGTATATTTTTGATTTTGTTTATTTTGGTCTTTAACAGAGACAAGTCTGTACGTGATCCCCTCCACTGACTGAAGAGCTATATCTTTAATATGCTTTCTTACCTGGCTGCTGTAAGAGATTTATTACCTAATCCTCCGAAAGCTAAAGAGGTAAAATTATAATAAAGTAAATCCCTGAAATCAGATCCTAAAAGTTCTATTTTGGTGTGAATATTATAGTCATGTTTCAGTTCTGCCTGACAGTCTGCACTCAGGGCCAAACTACAAGCATTAATAACGTCATTTATCCGCGACGCGTCGTGCGAGGCCATGTCCACGCGTGTTTTAAAAGTTCGTGTCAGGTTTCTGTAATGGCCACCAAACGACCACAGGACGAGTGCAGCAGCACAGACAAGAAGAAGAAGAAGAAGAGCGAGAAGGAGAGCCGCGAGGAGCCGGTGGAGCTCTGCGCAGCCGTAGAAGACGACCAGGTGAAGAGAGCCGTCACGGAGGCATGGAGCCGCAAGACTACCTACAGCCACGGTCAGTGAGAGGACCAAAGTTCAGCTTCAGATATTAATCTGCAGCTTTAATCAGTCTTCAGAAACCTGCAGCTTTGACGCGGCTGTTATTGGTGTTTTACGGGAATTTGTTGGGAGATCTGCTTCAATCAGGAGCAGCAAATTTGGAGTAAACCCTCTCTGACGTTTATACAGAGAGCTATGTGATAGTGGACACTGCAATACATAACAGAAACAGTTCCTACTGTAACATTTTTTTTCCGGAGCGGGGACTTGCATGCCCTCTCCCCATGTCAATCATCTTGTAATACAACAGTACGCCCCACTCTCTCTTCCTGCTTTCCTGTCTAACATTTGCTATAATAACTAATATAGGCACAAAACATCCCCCCAAATTAAACTTTAATCATTGTTCTGAAACTTTGCCCTCACAGATTGTAAAGACCCCCCAGATAGCAAGACGACATTGAATTGATGTTGATTTTT